TAAAATGCTAATAAATATTATTCAGAAGAAGATTTCCAGAGAATCTAGACTTTAAATCAATTTAATTTATAAATTAATAACGAAAATTCAGTTAAATCGTTTAAACGAAACAGGACGAGCAACAATGAATTGAACAGGTTAAATTTCTCCGAAACTTTTGGACACTCCATGCCTCTAAGCACGGAATCAGTTGTTTGGAAAGGTTAATGAGTTAGCTTTTCAATTTGTATAATCTTGTCGATGATAAAAGGGCATTTAGAATGGTGGAGCATCAAGCAGTCTTCCCTGAGTCGGAAAAATAAGGACTTATAAAGGAAATATTCGAATTCTGTTTTGCATAGAGAATGTCCAAGCTACAGAAAAAGATTCGGCTGCTTAAGGATCTTATGGAAATCGTTGTTACTAGCGGAGTTGGTTAAGGAGATGCCAAATAGCCCAAAACGTTTGTTACATGTACTGATTCAGTTGTTTTAAAAATGAAATGCGATAGACGAATTTTAATAAACGGCCGATGGTCTACTTCTCCCCCCCCCCAACCCCCCTCGACTTTCTGACGATACTGTGCCGATGGGAATGAAAATCAACAGAGGTGAAGATGCAGTGCAAAGCAGCAATTAAAGACCAACCAAAGTGAAGTTCGACCAAGCAGAGCGAAGAAAAAAATATTAAACCAGATATATTTATCATGGATGATTACTGGGTAGAAGTCGTTGAAAATGTCAGCTTTGGATCGTCCCAAATCACTCCTGCAGTTACAAGCTCGCTAAGAGACGTAACACGGCGTAGAATACCCACAGACGAAACGCAGAAATGTTTTAAAACAAAAATCATCAATTGTAGTTAAAGCTTCCATTTATAAAAGAATGATTTAGTCAACAACTCCATGTGCTGTTAGACCCGGTAGTTAACAAAATAGATAGTGAACTGTTAATAATCCATCAGCGGGCTATGGAAAGAAGTATGCTGAGAATTTTCGTTCGGAAAAGCTGCAAGATGAAGAAATCAGAAGAATTCATTCTAATGAGAAAAAAACTATACGCAGGCCAAATCGCATGACTCTCTTTCTGTTAGGGATTTGTATCGCTATTCTGCTATGTATCATTTGATTCTGTCACTAAAACTCTTTTTATGCTATTTGATCAAGATACAGCAGCTTCATATTTTTGCTTGGAATTACTGTTAACTGCTGGTTATGTGTTTGATGGACGTTTTTTTCCAGTAGACAGTTGATTAGTTTATGGATGAAGACTATTGCGTGTTGGTTTTGATTCAGTTTAATAGCAAGATCGTTAGGCTGTTGTTAGAGTGAGGTGGACCTTACAAAAACGAAGGCAAAAAATAAATTTGTGCGATAGAAAAGTTTAAAATACTGTCTCCTGTGCAAATATTAATCCCGAATGATGCTGTTGCCCACAGCAGATCAGTCTAGTGCCGTAGTTTCTCGTCCAAAGCAATAAAAAAACTAACTTGTTGATCATTTTAAAATTTTACTGTATTTCATGCATATATATAGAGTAGTATACCGATTAAACGCATGAAAATTTTTTCGCCATGGCAGCTTTATCTTTTACTTTCATGCATATATTGCTATCTTTTAGATATTTGGCTCTACATTTATTTGCATGGAGGCGCCAGCGTGGTATTTTAGCAAAGCGCTGTCTCATCGTCAAAAAGTACTTCGTTTGTATCGAAGAGCTATAAAGACGGTGAACAGCTGGTTTCTTCCGGAAGTGTAAGTTATAAAGTTCTGTGAAGTTAGAATGTAATTCATTCTTTTGCGTTCATTTGTATGCCAGACACTATAAGTAGATTTGGTTGTGCGCGACTGAATTCCTCGGATATATCGTTTAGGATTTTCAGCCTCATAACGCAGTCAATCCATGACTCAGCGGTCAGTCCAAAAGATTATGTGATTTAGTCCATAGGTCTGAAGGGCGACTCTCACTTGCCTGTCATACTCTGCAAATATATAAGTGAGTAACACCATGACCAGGAAGGAAATAGGAAGCAACACGCTGTGTATATTACAGAATTGAACATGTAGCATTCATAAATATGGCAGTCGCTCCCTTGACGCTTACGGCGTGTCCGTATAAGAGACTATTTTCTACCGATAAAGAAGTTTCTCCATTTCTTAATTTTTGCAAGAAGATCGTACACTGAGCACAAAGGGAGTGCTTAAATAATTAAGAAGGCAGTCATGGAAATGTTCCTCTTCTCATTTAGCTATTTTTCATCCGTCTTCACAACCACCGACCTCCAAAGCGTTTCGGTGGTCCCTCTTTTCTGCTGGTCGGATAAATTCCACGGCCGCTCCAAGGCAGAGAGTGCCAGATATTCGATATCCCCAAGTCATTTGACATCGGTCTGCCTTTGACCGCCTGCCATTAGACCTTTTCGGTCCGGTAGCGGTTGTGAATCTCTCGTGGTGTGCTAAGATTCGGTGTTACTTTAAATGCCAACTTCGAATGATACAAGTTAGACATTCAACCTTGCGTCCCTCTTTGAAAATGCAGATAATGATCAAACTGATCAGGTTATGAGTTCGCATGCTTGGTCAAAGTAGGTATTCGTTTTTGTTGCTGTGATAGTCGTGAATACGTCAGACTTGAAATGATATGCGAATAAGGTTGCGGAAACTCGGTTTGACAGATTTGTGCATGACTTTGAGGCAAATCTGGTTGTTTCAGCTAAAATGGCAACATGATAGTCCATAATTTCTGAACCTTATTTCACTTGTGTGTTTTCTTTAATACACTGGCACTTCAATCGTCCTCAACACAACAAAACAGGCGGATGGTAGTCTTTACTAGAGCTGCCGACGTTTCAGCGAGACTACGTTTCCCAGCTTAATGGCAAATCGGTATTGTTTGCCTTAACGATGGCCTAAATAGTTTGGTTAAAACTACGACGATTCTAGCGAAGACTATTTTCTGTCACTTTCTTGTGTCAAGAGCCATTGAAGTGTTCGTTTATTTTATTGACCCACTAACCCGTTATGCTCTTTTGATGTTTATTTGGCAGCATTGTAATTTGTTGAGCTTGGCGCAGCGTTGGTCCGATGAGCTTTAGTTTGCCTAACTGTTATGGTAAACGTATAGTTCTACCCGATGACGTGAATTAATGACACAATTTTTGTTTTTAGTCACGCAGAAAGCCTCTTAAGCAGGCTGCAGCCTCATGGTACCTTACGGCTTGTAGTGCCTTAGTGCTTTACTGACTAGAGCAATGCCTTTCTGTTTGACAGTAATGCTTCAAGAATCGTTACTTATTATGTGTTTTGTCAAAAAATCAAAGGTTTGTGCAAAGGCTGGAAATATGTTAATATAAACTGAAATCACACAGCAGCAACAGTTGACTTATCCTTCTTCGTTATTACCGGGGATCATCATTGCCTGATCTTACGAAGAAAGTCAACTTCACCGCGAACCAATTCGGCTTTATTCCTGGTCGGTTAGTTAAGAATGCCCTCCTTGCTGTAACAACCCTTGAAACATACACTGAAGGCAGTCAAGACATTTACTTGGTGTTTCTTGACTTGGAGAAAGCTTTTGACCGAATCCCCAGGGCAGACAGTCTGGTGGAGCATGAAAAAGAAGCTAGTGCCAGAAAAATATCTTAGACTTACCAAAGTTGTGTACGACTGAGTGATAACGATAGTTCGAAGTGCATGCGGCGAAACGGAGGAGTTGAAGTCCATCAAGGATCTGCACTGAGGCCATTTCTGTTCTCATTTGGCGACTGACGCGATAACTAAAGATCTGCAGGAAGCAGCAGGAATACAGAAAGCAGAGAAGGAGTAGAATCATAAACTCAGGCATGGAGAACAGCTCTTGCAATGAACGGCCTTCGGTTCAGCAAAGGCAAGTCGGAATATATGGTGGGCTATTTCAGTGGGGGAAAACAGGTTGAAAGCCGTTAAACCAGTGAAAGAGCCGGGAGCTTGTTGCCTCAAATCCAGGAATTCAGTTAGCTTGGTTCCATCCTGCAAGATAATGCGGAAATCGACAGCGAAATAAAAAATCAGTCGAAAAAGCCTTGGCTCGAATGGAGAGAAGTGAGCGGAGTACTGTGCGACAAGAAGATGCTCATCAAACTGAAATGGAAGGTATGCAGAACGATGGTAAGACCGGCGCTTATGTAAGGAACGGAATGTTCGGCTGCCTTGAAGAGACACGAGCAACAGCTGAACACGGTAGAAATGAAAATGCTCAGATGGATGTGCGGTGTCAACACAAAGGACCACATTCGACACAGCTTCATAACAGGCATTCTAGGGGTAGCACCAATTTCAGAAAAGCTTTTCGAAAGAGAGCTCCGTTAGTTCGGTCACGTGAAAAGAACACCCATCGAGTACGTTGGAAATGTGATCCAAGGACTGATACTGCCAGAAAAGAAAAGAAGGGAGAAACTGAAGAATAGGTGGCGCGATTTGATACTGCGATGAGTCTGAAGATCTAACCAACGACAGAAAAGTTGGAAGACTGACTCGATTAGCGGACACCCCTGTTAAAGGAAACATGCTAGAAAAAGAAGAGCAAAAGAGACATTGTCTGGCCTTAACGTACACTTTCGCTTGTATCGTACGATTCGTCGTCACAGACTTCCATGTCTCTTTTAGCTCCCCACCCCGTCTGAGCCGAGGTCTTTCGATCGGGCGCTTGCAACGCCTTGGGTACTAATTTCTCACTTCCAAAGTCCATCACTTATGTGATGTGACCTGCTGATTGTTTTTTTCTGTCTGTTGAAATTAATGCATCCTCCATCATTTAACACGCGCCTTATTTTCTCATTTCGCATCTTGTCTCTGATAGATATTGCTAAATTTCTTCTTTCAACAACCTACTGCTGCCCTTTTAACAGTTTGATCATTTTTGAAATTAATGCCCACGTCTCACAACTTTACATTGTTATACATGGTCGCCAAACTGGATTGCGCGGCTACTCTTAGTTGCCAAGATGATCTTTTAAGCATTCTAGGACCCTGTAGTTTGCTAAACATCTACAGCACTTAGGAGGTTTGATATGATGATTGTTTGTTGCTAAATTTTCATTTTTAGACGCATTAAGTAATGGTTGGTCAACTTTTCTACTATATATGGAGACTCTGTACCACCTAGAATACCACTACTCGCATAGTACGACTGTTGTTTGTTCTGACTGCTTTAAAAGTCTTTGAAGCAGATTCGCAGCCCCCTGCTTTGTTGCTGGTGTTTATATACCGCTTTTACACTAGTTCGATTTCTAGCAGACATGCTGTTGACAATCCGTCCACCTAAGTTATGTGTCTCACTGTTACGGTTGTTTGACTTAACTCATAAGAACTCCAGTTGTATTCCATGTTCATAGGCGTTAAGGCTGCTTTTAATGCAGTGATTTGTTCAACGATTTGGTCAATCTTAACATGTAGAATATATTAGCATACTTTGTTAGTCGATTTATATAACTCATATCACTTATATATCTCCTTCAGTGAAACCGTCACAAATGGTTCTAGACATACGGCATTGACCGATGTCAAAACTTAATTAAACTTGTGCACCGGAGGATCGTAAGTTCGCTGCGGGTTCCTTGATGGTTCGGCATGCAAATGGCATGTTGTTGTGAAGAGGATGTTCGCCGTCGGCGAGGATGTTGTCACTGAGCTACGCCTAAGTTGGCTAGCTGCTTTATAAGCGTCTGTACATCCACAGTGGCGTCCTTTCAGGCCATCGTAATAGGCGGGAGCTGCGAGAAGCAACTGTATCATGCAGTGTTGTCTGAAGAACTGCAGCATCTCTTGCTTCACTGCAAGACGTTTTACTGGTCTGAAAAACGAAAGAGTCCTTTTGAATTTCGCGGCCATATATGAATCTTGTGGATCCATGAAAAGCGTTTATTCATTTTTATGCCAAAATACTGCAGTTCGGGATCGGTATTGAAAGTCATTACATTTCCGCCGGTGACCCCTCTATTGTTCAGCAGTTACTGGGGTCATAGGTCTCTACTAGCGTAACTTCGACCTACTTTTCAGCATTTATTTTTAGTCTAACGTTGATCGGTCACGAGATAACCTCTTGTACTCTTGCTAGAAGGATGTTCTCGTCGACAGGATCGCGATCGCGTACGGCAAAATGAATGACAGTATCATCTGCGTACTCGATACCTCTAGCGCCTGTTCCAACGCGGGATTCACTGGTGTAGAGTGCGAACAGAATCGATGATAGAATTGAGCCCGGTGCAAGTTCCGTTTCGCAGCGCCTAACCGTTGACTTTCTGCGATCGATGGTGACTTGATGGAGACTGTTTAGATATGTTGCAAGGATATGAACGAT